AAAAAAAATCTCGAAAGAAAGAAGCCTGTCTTAGAAGAATACATACTAGATGATTCAGTTTACATAAAGATCTAAACAGGCAAACTAATCAATAGCGTTAGATGTCAAGATGGTGGTAATTCTTTTTTTTTTTTTTTGTAGAGAGACAGAGTCTCATTCTGTTGCCCTTGGTAGAGTGCTGTGGCATCACAGCTCACAGCAACCTCCAGCTCTTGGGTTTAGGTGATTCTCTTGCCTCAGCCTCTGAGTAGCTGGGACTATAGGTGCCCACCACAACGCCCCGCTATTTTTGTTGTTGTTGCTGTTGTTATTGCAGTTTGGCCAGGCCGAGTTCGAACCCTCCACCCTCGGTATGTGGGGCTGGTGCCCTACTCACTGAGCCACAGGTGCTGCCCCTTTTTTTTTTTTGAGACAGAGTCTCATTATGCTGCCCTCAGTAGACTGCTGAGGTGTCACAGATGACAGCAACCTCAAACTCTTGAGGTTAAGTGAACTCTTGGGCTTAAGTGATTCTCTTGCCTCAGCATCCCAAGTAGCTGGGACTACAGGCACCTGCTACAATGCCTGGCTATTTTTTGTTGCAGTTGTCATTGTTTAGCTGGCCAGGGCTGGGTTCGAACCCACCAGCCTTGGTGTATTGTGGCTGACATTGTAACCACTGTGCTATGGGTGCCGAGCCAATATAATGGCATTTTTGGTGGAGGAAATAATTGAGAAGGGGTGCGAAGGGACATCTGGAGTGCTGGCAATGTTTTGTTTCTTGATCTGTTTGCTGGTTGGTTACATATGTGTGCTCACTTTGTCAAAATTTATCAAGCCATATAGTTCCTATTTGTGTACTTTTCTGTATATGTGTTACACTTCAATTAAAAGCTTAATTAAAATGAAATTTTACAGTATGTGGTAGGCAGAATAATAGCTCCCCAAAGTTGTCCAAATCCTACCCCCCAGAACCTGTGACTATGCTAGGTTATATGGCAAAAGGGGATTAAGTCTGCTAATCAGCTGACCTTAAAATAAGAAAATTATCTTGGATTATACCATGCGCAAGTAAGCCCAATATAATCACAGTTATCCTTAAAAGTAGAAGAGTAGGCTCGGTGCCTGTGGCTCAAGTGGCCAAGGCGCCAGCCACGTACACCCAAGGTGGTGGGTTCGAATCCAGCCTGGGCCCGCCAAACAACAATGACGGCTGCAACCAAAAAATAGCCGGGCGTTGTGGCGGGCGCCTGTGGTCCCAGCTACTTGGGAGGTGGAGGCAGGAGGCTCGCTTGAGCCCAGGAGTTGGAGGTTGCTGTGAGCTGAGATGCCACGGCACTCTACCCAGGGGGACAGCTTGAGGCTCCTGTCTCAAAAAAAAAAAAAGTAGACAAGGATGTCAGAGAAGGTAAAAGAGACACAGAAGTAGTGTCATAGAGAGATGCTATCCTGCTGGCTTTAAAGATGGAGCAAGGGGTCTCATGCCAAGGAGTATGGGCAGCCTCTAGAATCTGAAAGAGACAAGGAAATAGATTCTCTCCTAGAGCCTCCAGTAGGGAGTCTTGTCAATACTTTAATTTTAGCCTATGTTGGACTTCTAATGTATAGAACTATAATATAATAAATTTGTGTCATTTAAACCCACTACATTTGTGGGAAGGTTGTAGCAATAGAAATCTAATACAGTTGGTGTGGGAGAAGATCAAGTGCTCAATTTTGGAGGGGTTCAGAGACTCCAGATACATTAGATACCTAAGTGGTGGTGTCAGGTAGGTGTTGGATATATGAGTCTGGAATTCAGGACAGAGGGATAGGCTGGAGATTAAAAAAATTGGAGTTTTTAGTAAAAAGAAAAGCCAAAAGAATGAGATTAACTAGAGTAGGGCCACACCTGCAGCTCAGTGAGTAGGGCGCTGGCCCCATATACTGAGGATGGAGGGTTCGAACCCAGGTCCGGCCAAATTACAACAAAAAAATAGCCAAGCATTGTGGTGGGCGCCTGTAGTCCCAGCTACTCCGGAGGTTGAGGCAAGAGAATTGCCTATGCCCAAGAGCTAGAGGTTGCTGTGAACTGTGACACCATAGCACTCTACTGAGGGCGACAAAGTGAGATTCTGTCTCAAACAAACAAACAAAACCTAGTGTAGCTAGAAAAGAGGTTTAAGAACTGAGCCCTACGGACCGTGCCTGTGGCTCAAAGGAGTAGGGCACCAGCCTCATATGCCGGAGGTGGTGGGTTCAAACCCAGCCCCGGCCAGAAACTGCAAAAAAAAGAACTGAGCCTTAGGATGCCCAACTAAATCGCTAGTGGCTTAAAGCTAGTGAGCACTCCAAAATGGAAACATATGGCTCGGCGCCTGTGGCACACATGGCTAAGGTGCCAGCCACATACACCTAAGGTGGCAGGTTCAAATCCAGCTTGGGCCCGTCAAACAACGATGGCTGCAACCAAAAAAAATAGCCAGGCATTGTGGCAGGCGCCTGTGGTCCCAGCTACTTGGGAGGTGGAGGCAGAAGACTCGCCTGAGCCCAGGAGTTGGAAGTTGCTGTGAGCTGTGATGTCACAGCACTCTACCCAGGGGGCAGCTTGAGGCTCTGTCTCTAAAAAAAAAAAAGGAAACATATACCTACGAAGATGTAAGTATATGCAGAGTTAAGCAGCAGGCCAAGAGGCAGATACTTAAGCTAAGTTTATAAGAACAACGAGGTACTGAAGGCAAGAGTAATAGATCCAAAATACAGGGAAACAGTCTATGCAACAGGAATTAGGAGTTCAAGCATGAACTGAGTAATTGGGGTGAGAAAATGTAAGTATAGGGTCTGGGTAATACATTCCAGATGTCATCAAAGATGGGACCTTGGCCCTAAGCCAGCTCTCTGCTTTGGGTTCCCATTGCATCCTCAATTTGGTTCCTGCCTTCTAGGGGGTCTCTGTGTATCTTTCTAGCTTATCATTTTCCCTTCTCTTCCATTTCTTTACTCTTTTTCCTTCATTGCACATAATACAGAAATAAAATGTTCAATTGGGTCTAAGGCTTTTTTTTTTTTACATTTAAACACTTCTGAAATCAGGACACATCTTAAGATTTATGGTATGGGCTGGTCTGAGTGCAGTGGTGTTTACAATTAATTGATCATAACCAGTTGCAGATTCCTTTGTTCCTGATACAGGACAAGTGGTATCCCAGCCAGCTCGTGGAGCTGTGGGGCACAGACTGGCTGCCTCCACCTTGGCAATGTTGGTGCGGTGACAGCAAGCAGCAGAACCAGCAGGATGGAGGGTGGGCAGGGGGGGTCTCCATTTCCTAGGCCTGGGAATAAAAGGGATTGTAGCCATTCATTTGCAACCCAGACATGTTGTTCCAGACAGATGTCCCAGACACGCTAAATGTAACTACCTAGCCCCACTAAATGTAACTACCAAGGGCCAGACATGTCCCAGACAGGCTAAATGTAACTACCTAGCCCCGCTAAATGTAACTACCAAGGGCCAGACATGCCCCAGACACAATATCCCAGACATGTTTTTCCAGACATGTCCCAGACAGATGTCCCAGACACGCTAAATGTAACTACCTAGCCCCGCTAAATGTAACTACCAAGGGCCAGACATGCACCAAACACAATGTCCCAGACTTGTTTGTTCCAGACATGTCCCAGGCACGTGTGACTACCTAGCCCCTATGGAGTGCCCCACATGACTATATAGATCCCTAGACAAAGAGCCTAGAGACAGACAGAGAGGGAGAGAAAACGCTTTTCTCTCCTAACTTGAGTTCTCTCTCTCTGCCAGGAGCTCTGGTACTTCTGTATTCTTTTCTGTAAATAAATCCTGTCTTACCACTGATCTGTGGTCCACAGATTCATTCTTTGAATCACCGAAACCAAGAACCTATTGAAGAGCAAAATTCCAGTATCATTCCCTCTCTATCACCACTGCTTCACTTGACTAGCCTAAAAAAAAAAAAAAAAAAAAAATCGATGGTGTGCCATAGTTCAATTGGCAGCAATTTTCTTCTTTCTTAACATATAAAATAATGGTCATCTTAATTCAATGATATCTTAGATTTGATGTGATGCAAATGCCCTCTCATTTCGGACAATATTTTTAAAATTTTGTGGGGCTGAACTTTATTAAGGTACAATTTATATGAAATAAAACTTTAAGTGTACAATTCAATGAGTTTAAACAAATGTGTGCCGTTATGCAAACACACCCACAATCTTAATTAAAAAACATTTTGTTGGCTCGGCGCCTGTGGCTCAAGCGGCTAAGGCGCCAGCCACATACACCTAAGGTGGAGAGTTCGAATCCCCAGCCCGGGCCCGCCAAACAACAATGATGGCTGCAACCAAAAAATAGCCAGGCGTTGTGGCTGGCGCCTGTGGTCCCAGCTACTTGGGAGGCAGAGGCAGGAGACTCGCTTGAGCCCAGGAGCTGGAGGTTGCTGTGAGCTGTGATGCTACGGCACTCTACCCAGGGGGATAGCTTGAGGCTCTGTCTCAAAAAAAAAAAAAAAATACCAGTATCTTGTGAACTGACTATAAGTATCTATGAAAGAACAGGCCGCAGAACCTATCCCTCGACCTGAAAAACGGTCAGCTTTCAAGTTAAAAGTATAACAATTTACTACAAACAGGGACCCTGAGCTATCTGTGGCTCCACAACGCCTCGCCAGAAGCTGGTCGCTGCTTTGGATGCTGGGACTTGCAGTCCGCGACAGATTCGTTTCTAATCAAGATGGCAGAGTTGCTAATGACGCGCGAAGGAGCCGGCCCGGAGGGACTCTGGGCCGCAAGGGGATTGGGCGGCGCAGGGACTCGGCAGTCGGGAAGTGAAGACCAGGTACTTAAACCTTTCCACTCAGGCAGGTCGGGCACCCTGAAGTCTCGCGAGATCGTGTCGGGGCCCAATGGAACGCGGGACCGGCTTATCACTAGGGGCATTTATTGGAGGAGGAGCTTCAGTGCGCGTTGCCCGGCCTTAGGTGCCAGGCGTAAGGGCGTTTAGGCCGAGCGACCGCTGTGAGGAACCGTGGCCATGAAGGAAGAGAAGGAGCACAGGCCTAAGGAGAAGCGAGTAACCCTGTTAACGCCCCCCGGGGCCTCATGCAGCGGCAGTGGGACCTCAGGGGACAGCGCCAAAGGAGAAGATAAGCAGGATCGAAACAAGGAGAAGAAAGAGGCTCTGAGCAAGGTGCCCAGCCGGCCGTTGGCCCCGGAGAGGGCGGGACGGGTCCGCAGCTCGCGAAGGATGGCTGGGAATGGGGCTGTCCTCTGTCCTCTCCCAGGTTCCCCTCCTATCTTTTCACCTGAATGAAAACCGCATCACCCTGTTTCATCCACTCGCCCAAGATTGGGGGATCCCCTCCCAGCCCAGCGGGAGGGTGGGGATGAGAAAAAGGTCGGGCTTCTTAGAAGAGTTTAGGGTCAAGAGCTGTGAGATGATAATGGGAGGGGAGCGACGGTAAAAATAATAAGGAATTACCAGTTTAATTGGGGAGAATTATTAAATCGCGAAAGGGACATCAGGGATGGGAGTAGTTTGTATTAAGAATATTCATGAGGCCGAGCGCGGTGGCTAACGTTTGTAATCCTAGCACTTTGGGAGGCCGAGGCGGGTGGATTGCCCGAGCTCAGGAGTTCTGAGACCAGCTAGAGCAAGACCCTGACCCCCATCTCTAAAAATAGCCAGGCGTTGTGGCGGGCTCCTGTAGTCCCAGC